TCAGTTGTANTACCCGTTATGCTTTTGGATGTTTTGCATGATGTCCTTTCAGGAAACTGTCATCATGTCACCTCCTTTTCTACAAGTTAAAGATTCACTCCAGGTGCGTGTGTGTGTGTGTGTGTGTGTGTGTGTGTGTGTGTGTGTGTGTGTGTGTGTGTGTGTGTGTTCTGCTTAAGCTAGCTAAAGCGCATTTAATGTTGGGGATGACAGTTGTTGCCCTGGTGAAGATAAAACAGCATATGTGACCCGTGGTGCTCATGAAATCCTGACAGATTGACAACACACTCAAGCAGGTGAGGCAGGTTAGTGATTTTCGTCTTGATCTCACTTCAGGAACATTCAGCAAAGTGAGACACTGTCGATGAGCAAGCCAAGATTTTTAACCCTGTGACCTTATTTTATTCAGAATTACGGTCATGAGCCATACTACTTTTAAGAAATAGAAATGTAAGTTTGCTTTGGGTGTTGGGTGTGTATGCAGATCCAGAAAACGGGGATAATATTGTTCCAATATCATTACTTACATTTGTGTTGAAAGTGGCTTTTACAGTGTCCGTTTAAAATGTCTTAAGTCAGGTTTTTGTTTTGTTTTTGTCACTACTTTCAAACAGAAAGTGAAACTAAAATGCCCCTCCTGGGTTTCTAGTAATTTTCCTCTGAGCGCTGATATGACACCGCTGTGATGACATCATCTTGACCAGTCATTGCTGATGTCAAACTTAGGCAATAACCACAAGAGGTTCCTGTGGTTGCTAAGGGCCTCCAGTGTGTTAGCTATACTTTTGGTCACAGCCACCATGACTTGTATGGTATTTTAGCTAGCAACATTTCCATTTAAGCTTTATGTCTCTCTGTGACTCATCATGTGCCATCATGTCTACGCTGGTACCATGTCATTTCAGGGTCATAGATTTGGTAACCTTGTGGTAATATTGCACCGAGCTGAGTCACACTTTGCCACTGTATGTAGTGGAAACACCCATATGACTTCTGCTAGCCGTCGACTCAACATGCCTGGAATTTCAGTGTCCAGCAGTGTTGGAGGTGATGTCAGGGGATCAGTGTGTGCGTGTCTTTGTGTTGCCCTGTCTCTATGCATGGGCCATGCACGAAGTGTGGTTCCAGCTGACTCGATAGTTGACATTGTGATGCTATCTTTGGCATAATCTGAAAAGTCCTACATTTTTGAGCATGCCTGAACTTTCTGGGAAAATTGGATGAACTTTATGAGATGGTAAAAACCAAAGACTTGTGAGCTGCATCATCATCATCACAACTACACTAAACTAACTTAACAAAAGCTGCTTTTATTAATAGGTTTCTTGGATGTTAAAAACTGTGAAATGTTAAATGCTAATTCATTTTAGTTAGAAACATTTTCCATAGTTTTTTGGACTAAGCTCAATCTGCTTTCTGTTCTGTCCATAAATTCATGTTTACCATATTTCTTGTAGACTTTTTGACAGGTTTCTTTAATAACATGCCTTGATTCATAGTCAGGGCAGCCTGTTACATCAGCTAGACCTGTAAAGTGGGTTGAGTGGGTCCATAGGGGACAACTGCAGGCACACCTGGAGTTATAAAATCCTCTTTTAGGCCTCTCGTTCTGTTGCTATTGTTGCTATGGATTGATCCCTATGGAAGAAGCAAGGCACACTAACAAACTGCTCATAGAAATAGCCTAGCTTTGTTAAGTAAAAAGTAAATAGCAACTGTTGAAAGGATTCTGCAGACTCCTTTGAAAAAGATTTCACTTTATAAATCTTTTTTTTATTTGATCATTTTTGCTCTGGCATCTGTCACCATGACCTCAAAGGAAGGCATCTGTAATGTGAAGCCTGAGTGATGAGGACCAGTCTGCAAGTGTCATGCCCCTTCTCCCTCGCCGCCTCTCTCCCTCTCACACACACCCTCTCTGCTGCTCACACTGAGCGCGAGAGTATTGGAACATTGAGTACCTTCAGCACATTTTTCACATTCCCCTTTGAGGGTCCCAACCTTAGCCCCCACTACACACGCACACTGTAAAACACACACACTAACCTGACTGATGTTTCTCTTCAGTGCTAAGCAATGGTTGTCGACCACCTTATGGCAGTCCTGTGACATAGAATAACTTGTCTGTGAAAGTCTATTGTTCTGTTTCTTATCAGAGTGCTAACCTGCACCTTCCTCTCTGCCTTTTCTCTCTCCAGCTGCGGTGTGTGTGTGGTGAGCAGCAGCGGCAAAGATGACGGAGTATAAGCTGGTGGTGGTTGGAGCTGGAGGCGTGGGCAAGAGTGCACTTACCATCCAACTCATCCAGAACCACTTTGTGGATGAATATGATCCCACCATAGAGGTATGACGCTCTTTTGCCTTTTACATTATTATTATTATTATTATTCCGGGGGGGGGGCGCGCGCGCTCTATCGTATTGGTAAAAAGAAAGGATCCAGATCCCCAATATTTAATTATTGTATGGTTAGCCTCAAGTTTTTTACATATTAAAGTGAAGGCGTGACATGTTTTGTACAAATGTCCAATCCCATGGTCTTAGCTGACCGATATTGTCTGGAGTGGACAGCTCACTCTAAATCAAGTTAATTTAATTTAAATAATTGAATGTCTGTAGTAATTCTCCTAACAATCAAGCTGGGTAGACATCCCTAATTTTCTTTTTGAAGAAATCTTTCATCCGCCTTTCAGTAATTCTTATATTTTCATAGAAATATTGACAGAAAAAGATTGTAGACATTGCAAAGAGAAGAGGGAAGTCAGTGAGAATGTGGTGTCCTCTCTTTTTCTCCACTCTCTCCCTCTCTTTCTCACCACGCCTGCCTCTGGCCAGACAATGTCCTTTTTGTGTATTTGCATTCCTGGCCCCTATGCTCTAACAAACAAAGGGACGGCACTCCATGTTTTTGTGGCTGTGTGTTGGAAGGCTAAACATTGGCTCCGATACCCTGCTCCTCTGATCTCTAGATGAGCATTTAACAGAATTAATATCACATTCCAGTTGATACGCATGTTTACATACAGACACAACTTACCACTGAGTGGCCAAGAGCCTCAGTGACCCGCAGCTGCCTCAAATTCCACCTGAACCACGTTTTGTGTCTGACTTTTGTTACAGTTTGCTCACTTGCATGTTTTTACCACAACTTGAAACGTTTTTTTCTGCAGGACTCGTACAGGAAACAGGTTGTGATTGACGGAGAGACCTGCCTGCTGGACATCCTGGACACTGCAGGTCAGGAGGAGTACAGCGCCATGAGGGATCAATACATGAGGACAGGGGAGGGCTTTCTCTGCGTCTTCGCCATCAACAACACCAAGTCTTTTGAGGACATTCACCAGTACAGGTGTGTAAGAGTCCGTCATAGATAGGAGGGTGTAGGGGTGCAGTGGCCCCAACAATCATGGCATAAATAACAGCAAGATGATGGCAAAGTTATAATGACAACTATATTGAAATCGGCATTATTTAACACTCTTACTCATTGACTTTGGAAACCTCATTTTTTTAAACTGTGGCTTTCTAGCTGTGAATTTTCTTTAACTTTCAATCTAATTAAACATGTCTTAAAATAAATGAAACTAGATAATACATTCTATATATTGAAATGTAATTTAAACCCAATAAATATTGTAAATACACTTGCTCTAACAACTGAAAACTCCAACATTTGTAAATATGTACAAAAATAAATGTAACCAATATTATATAAAGATAAATTATAGCAAATATATTGTAATTCACGGCTACAACCTACTGGATACTCTTTAACACACACACATGTTGGTAACCTGTATTCTTTATCTTGTTTTAATAATCATTGAAGTCCAAAACCGTACCTAAAGATAACATTTCCCCATCACCTGTGTATTTACTGGAAAGATCACAGAGCAGCCGGGGTGGAGTTCAGACTCACCAAATCATTCCTGTTAGTTCTCTTCTAAGGCTCTGTGTATTTGAAAATGCAGTGTGTGTTGCAGGGACTCCCATGGGGTCTGGAGAGAGAGGGGTGTGTATACGTGTGTGTGCCAGCTCTCTGCAGTAGTTGGGTGATGTCATGCTGTAGCGTTTAACACGGCTAAAGAAAGCTTAGCCCCCAACTGGAGGATTACAGCACGATGCCAATGAAATCGATCCTGACTCAATTAGAGGAGCAGGGAGAGGTAGCACTTTCAAGGACAGGGAAGGAGAAGGGGGGGGGGGGGGGGGGGGTTGCAGCTGGAGATGACAGTGTCCTATCTCTTTGCCACATCTCGTCCCATTAGACACCCACGTCCCAGTGCGTGGGGCAGGTAAAAGAGGCGGAATATAACTCAACAGATTTGGTGTTATTATTGCACACACAAACACTGGTTTGGCTTGCTGCCATTGGCTTTTTTTGGCTTAACTGTAACACAACTGCTGATTTGACTGTAAAGTCATTGTGCGACTTGTGAAATCCTGCATGGATTGGATGCTTGAAAAGATGGTGGCATGGTTGAGCTATTTTTAAAGATCTGACTTACTAGTAAAAAATAGTCGGAGGCATCTTGGCAAAATGTCCACCTCACTGTTGGCACATAGTGGCATAGTATCTGTGTAACAATTGGGAAATGTATGATTTTTTTTCCTTTTTTAATTGACGCAGTATTAAACCATATGCACCAGGGTATTAGGATAAAATCTTCTTTTAGTGTTTGAAGTCAATCTGTTAGACTTGAAGTGCCTTCCTCATCAGCAAAAAAACAACTGATGTGGTCATAAACACCATTAGCCGTGTTGACTGCAGATGGGCAGGGCGTGCTGCATCCTGCTGTACTCGAGCTAGGGGAGAATGAGCTGATAGATTGATCTGACCCACTCCTCTCACTCAGTTCCCCCTGGCTGCCTGGCGTTTGGTGCTGGCTGCTGTAGTGATGAGGTAATGCTGTTGTCCATTCCTCCCCCTCCCTCCCTCCCTCCCTTCCCCTCCCCTCCACCTCCCTCCTTCAGCAGTGCAGCACAGCCCAGCACCGGCGGGCCCCGGCTCCTCCTCAGGGTCCTAGAGCTCCCCGGGTGGTTGGCTCTCCAGCGGTGGGGCTGCTGTTGTTTATGAAGCAGGGAGGATCCCCAGACTACACAGATGTCCCTGTGACTGAGTGCAGGGCTGGGGCGGGTTATAGGAAAACAGACAAAGTTCTTATGGCATTTTTCTCTTTCTGCAATTCACAGAGAACAGATCAAACGTGTAAAGGACTCGGACGATGTTCCCATGGTGCTTGTGGGAAACAAATGTGACCTCCCGACACGCACGGTAGACACGAGGCAAGCCCAGGAACTCGCCCGCTCCTACGGCATCCCATACATCGAGACCTCTGCTAAAACACGACAGGTGGGCGGTGAACAAGAAGCACACTCCCACAATACCACACTTTCTTTTATTTCTCCCTATCTCTGATATTTCAAATTACCTGTGAACTTAACATATATTTCTCCCATCTTTACAAGCCATGAAACCCACATTCAATGCACATTAGCCCTCTTATAATACTCTATTAAACACGGTATGCTTTTTAGTATGGGCCCTGTATTTTTTACATTTTGTACGTGTAAACTATTTTCATGTGAAAAGCAGCTAAATGTCCGCAGTATGATGTGATTTGTGTAGCTGGAAATATTTTATTATCCCACAGGCAATGACTCATAGCCAGGTTACCTTGGCTTAAGAACAGCTACAGTATTTGAAAGGCTTCATAAGGACAAGTTGCCGCACAGCTCCCACTCTGTCTGAGTCACTGTCACACACAGTGAAGGTACAGACTCCTGCATTCATCATGGTTCCTGCAGAAATGTGTCAGTCAAAAAGAAGAGTTTGCAAAGCACGACGTGAATTACTTCTTTTTACCTATTATGATTTCCGACGTCTGAAATATCAGGGTCGCCATGGTGATGTTGCCAGGCCTCTCGGGGATGAGTACACCGAAGAGCCATGCTGTCAGTTGGAAGGGGTGCATGCAGTGCACTCATAATTGACCGTTGAAAGTGCCCACATAACCTTTTGTGTGTTGTGTGTCTACAGGGAGTAGAGGACGCCTTCTACACGCTGGTTAGGGAGATCAGACAGCATAAGCTGAGGAAGCTGAACCCCCCCGATGAGAGCGGTCAGGACTGTATGAGCTGTCGCTGTGTGGTATCGTGATGCAGGTGAGACACAAATGTATTTTTCTTCTCTGACAGTTAAGTTAAAGGGGAAGTCGCTAAATTGGTATGCTTATACTGGAACTTGTCTGTTTATGCAAATGAGTGCCCATTGAAAGTTAATTATTTTGCATTATCCTTATATATTTCTTTTTGTACCTACTTTGCAACTTATTTTTCTAGATGGTTTATGTTCGCACCACCAGATACCAAAGCAAATTCCTTGTATGTGTAAACGTACCTGGGAATAAACTTCATTCTGATTCTGATCAATGTTACAACTCAGTTTAACTTTTTCCCCAGGAGTATAAATGTAAAAATGGCACTAACATCTGTCCCCTTTTGTCATTTCCTTCCACAGCTGACTGTTGCACGTTGAGGAGAAATGCTACAGCGCGTAGTGGCAGCATGGACACAAAGATAGAAAGATAAAAACAACTCAATGATGAAATATAAACTTTTTTCAAAAAGAGGATGATTGAAGCAAAAGCGCTCAAGGAAACCACCAGAGCTGACTGAACCGTAGACCTTCATGGATAAGGAGGATTTGGACTGTTGCCCATGTGGCTACCTGAACTAGCACGGTTCCGGCCCCCTTTTCTTGGTCCGCACGTGGACTTGTGAGCAACACCACTAATGACTCTTTGTCAACTCCAGTGTGGTCCTGCTGGGTAGCTCAACACATTTCCTGCTAACTTATTGTTTTCAGTCTCAACACTGGTCTTAATGGGGGTCTTGCTGACCTCCTCCCACCTTGAAAGCCTAATCCCCCCCCCCAATGCCTGCCCACTGGAAGGACTGACTGACTAACATGGAAAGGACTGGAATGGACGTTCTGTTGCCCAAACACCTCTCATATGAATAACCCCCCCGTCCCATTCTACCTGCCTTTTGATTTCCCCCTTCGAATGGCTGTGTAGTCTCTTCTATACTGGATCCAGTGGGCGGGGGCTGACATGGGAATGACTATAATTTTGTTGTTGTTTTAACAGTTAGCCTAGCTTTTTGATATGGAACATTTTATTTGTGATTTGCAGAATTTGAAAGTCACAGAGCAATGTGAGGGTGTTTATTCCAGATGGCACCTGGTTTGACTTTTTGTTTTCATGGCCTGCCTGATGTAGTTGGAATGTAAAGATAAATGAATTTCCAGAATGCAACCACCTTCTCTCTCTGCAGATGTTTCCTTCGCTACAGTCTTTATGAAATAATAGTATTGGCTAGTGCACGTAGGTTCTGGTGCAATAGGATTCTTTCCTTTCCAATTCACACAAAGTATTGGGAATAAACCACCTCTCATTGCTTCTTGTTAGCCTTTGGTTTAGAAGGGCAGAGGGGTACTGTGCATGAAAATCTAGTTCTTGTCACCTCTCCAGTTGCTACAGCTGAAGAGGTTTCCTGTAGAAATAAGAGGAAACCCTGCGCTTGTACAGTTATACAATTAGGTTATGGATGCTTTGCAGAGTGTAACGCACATGTCCTGCCTCAGTCAAACTTCAGATTTCCACACACCATACTATCCTCAAACTGCTCATCTTTCTCTGCAACCTCAGCTCTATAACGGAACAATAACAGGTCAGGTGCTAATCATGTCGGAACCATATTTACTGTATATGTGGGACTATTGTGTGTAACAGGTGATGGATATTTGGTTTTGGGAGTGCATCGCTTTGTTTCTTAATACTGACCCAGCTTGTGCTCTCCACAACTGCATTAATTTGTTGCCTAAATGAAAAAAAAGACTGCTCTGTGTTTACTTTGCCTTATCTGTTAGCTAGTTTGTACCTCATGTATGCAGCGAGCTCTAGAGGAATCTAGATGATTCTGTGATCGGTTAGCTGCATTGTTTTGTTTGTTTGATGATGTGTGCAACTGAAGAAAATATATAAGTGAGTTGAGTCAAGACATGCGCTGTATAGAATTCGAAAGGCAAGTCTCTGGAAACACTACACTGTTTTTTTAAATTTGTTTTAAAAGAGGGCTTTCTGTAATGATGTGTGTCTAAATGTGATTCTGTTTTAAAAGACTGAAAAACAACAGTTAAAGAGCCCAGTATAACCCAAGTTGTCTTCTGAAATTTCATTCCAAATACAATGGAACATGTGAGGTTGATTACTAGAAATGGTTGGTTTAAAACCAGATTATTATTTTTTAATTCAGAGAATTGGTATGATAACATAAAGAGATCCAGACACTACAGGCAGGTTTCTGCAAACCCCAAACACATTTGAACATTTATCACGCACAAATCAAAGTGCTTATCTCCTACCTAGTTAATTTTGTACATTTTAAAGTGACTCTTTCCATCATATCATGGCTTAAAAAAATATGATCAGTCTAGTTTCTGTGTGGATGTTAGTGATCAAGTTGTTTTAATCAGTTAAGTGTTCATTTCTCTGCGTGGAGAAAATACATGAACTGTGAATGTGCTTTAGATATTGTTTAAAAGGAGCCTCATGTTTCAAATGTACCATAACAAAAATAATGCAGGAGTTGTTCCTCGGTCCCACTTTTGGCTGTGTTCTAACTTTTATTTTTCATCCATTGTACTCAAACCTTTTGATGGAAAAAACGAGTGTGGCATTTGTAACCTGTAACAACAGTCCTGGTAGTATGCTTGTCCTCTCCCTGTCAATCTTGAAACAGTGCATCCATGATAATACATATAATTCCACTAATCTATGTATTCAAATTCCTGTTTCATTAGAATAATGGCGTCATTTTGCCACAGGAAAACTACAGCCAGCAAACCACAAGTATACATGTCAGAAAACCTGGCGAGCATGACAAAGACTGTACGGACCATTGGGAGTTTTGCACAAGGATACAGTGGGATCAAGGGCTTGTTTCTCCCTTGCAAACTGTGGATGGAGGTGTGGAAAGAATTTGTGAAACTGTTTAGCTATTTAAGATGTATTTACTCTTTGAATATGTGGCAAGTGTATTGCAGGACAGGAATAAAGATGTCAAGATGAATCTGTGTCTTTGGTCGCTCAAACATCTAACTCATGTCATATTACATTTGGGATTTGCTGCCACCTGCAGGCTGCTTTGTGTATCGTACAGAGTATAAGACAAATAATGTAATAATAAAGGAGCTTATATCTAGCATAAACTCAGCAGAACTTTAATCATGTTCTAACTAAATATGTTCTTTGTGTAAAAGTGAGGTGATAACTGGTTTACACAATGTTGGCAAGCACAGCTGTGATGAAGGTTCAAAGAACAATCATAAATGTTGCGTTTACACAAACGTTGTACTGTTGCAAAACACTATACTGTAACAACATGAGGAAGTGGTTTCTTAGGTAGAAGGGAGAAAAGAGGTGAGGCAAACCAAGGGAAAGCACATAAATGTATTAACTGTGATCCAACAGTTTCAAAATCCAAATAACAACCAAGCATGGTTCCGCTAAACAGTGTGTAATACGTTTTTTATAAAGAACTACATTTGTATTTATAAAGCACTGTAAACAATTAGCAATTGTCATGATTAATAATAATAATTTTTAAATGTGGTCACTGTTATATTGCTGTTCAAGCCATGAAACCTAGTTGTTGCTTTTAAGGTCACATGCTTTGCATAATTGCAGGGCTGTTTTCTTACTGGCTTCTGAAGTCATAAAAGACAAAGGCTAACCCATGAACCAAAGACGAACAGGGTGGAGGGTTATAACAGTGTAGGCGATTAAAAGCATACAAGAGAAAGTGATATGTTCAAACTGGATTCTTCATAATCATGCCATACAACGAGCGTTCAATTAAGCAAATGCTTCCTGAGGTAAGATTAATGATCAACAGATGATTATCTCTTAGTCAAACTTAACATTTGAATAGTAAATAAATAATCCATGTATATTTGTAATGGTGCTCCCATTGTATTCTTTTTATTTTGAAGACGTATCCACGGAAACATGTGGCCCGTGAAATCTACGATGCATTGACTCACTTTAAAAGCCTTGTACCCTTGATGGATAGATACGGTAAGAAGATAAATTAAACCTAACAATCTGTTGTTGAATGTATTTAACATGAAACTCCAACAAGTGCTGTAAATTATAGTCATGGTTTCATTATTTACAGTTTACAATGATGGCACCACAAAGAACTTGATGAGTCTAACTGGAACCATCCCTGTCATGTTTGAAGGTAACAATGACTTTGCATTTGTATAACTCTATGAAACAGCTACAGTATAAGCTGGAATTTAGTGGGGGAACTGATCAATTTGAATCACAAATAATGATGACATTTCTTAGAATCTACAAGATAAAAATATATTTTCCCCTTTTTTAATACAAGACCAAACCTACAACATCCCGGTATGCCTGTGGATTGAAGAAAGCTATCCACAAACTGCTCCCATCTGTTTTGTCAGACCCACACATGAGATGATGTTAATTGGTGGACAGTACATCTCCAACAGTGGTGAAGTCATGCTGCCTTACCTGGAGGATTGGAAATGTGTGAGAATTTTAATTGTATCTTGTTTTCTTTGAAAATACTGAATGTCAAAATGGATGGATAATGGAGTTATTACATCCTTACATTTGTTTGACTTTTCCTTTTTCCCATCAGGGTGAATGTGACCTACTGAGCCTACTCCAGGTGATGGTTGTCGTATTTGGAGACTTCCCTCCCGTGTGCATGCAGCCTCATCCAGAGCCCGAACAAGCCCCTTGTAAGTTATGCTTACACAGGCAGGAAGCTTCGTCTTCATGTTGTTTCAAAACAACACTACCTATGCCCTAGATACGAGTTTATCACAGATCGAAAGATCCATATCCAGGCCACACCTGTTCAATGTCACTCTAGGTTCATTGCTCTTAAATGTAGAGCTGAAAACTATTTCCTTCTCTCAACGTGTTTATGAATTTGTTGTGACTGATTCAGGCCTCTCTAAAATGAATAATGTGTTCCATATAGGTTGGCTGCAATTCCACAGACAAGCAGAGGTGCTTTCAAAGACCGATGGAAGTATGTATCTGGATTTAACCGGTGAAGATGATCTACCTTTCCAAGAACATGACACCAACTGTTAGTCTTTGTGGAATTTTAACCATATTTGTATTGTGTGTGTTGCCTGTGATGAGGTGTTCAATGTGTAAAGTGTCAGATGGTATCCATTTGTTAGTTTACGGTTAATAAATGCATACAATTCATACAAATGAATTATAACATGATGTATGTATATTTTCCAATGATTTAGACTGTAAACTGATTAAAACATACTGACTGGGTTTAGTTGTGGATGTATGCACCATATCATTTGTTTTTCAAATTAACATAATATTGAGGGCCTATGTTTGAACACCAGATTTCTTAAGAAGCAGCTCATAAACGGTACCATAACTGCACCCAGTTTGTTTGCTTTTATTCACGAATGTTTCCGGCTTTTGACCATTGAAGAGAAAATGTAACAATCCAAAGAACACACACATAGCCAGCCAGTGTATATTGAAATTATAATAACCCAAACTGTTGTGAGAAGTGATTGATTGATGCTGGTAGGCTACTGTAAATAAAGAGTCATATCAAACATGTCTGTGTGTATTATTGTGGGGCAACACATTTCATATTATTTTCCAGCATGGTTTGTATAATGACTAAGTACGCTTTTGCACTAATATAGCCTATAATGTGTGAAGGAAACTCACCTAAGTAGGACCACGCCTTGAGAACAACTCGTCTACTGTTTACGTGATTTGCGTACCGGAAACAGTCAGGTGGAATACCGGAAATTCCTTTTGTTTTCTATCGGATATTTGTTCTTCGGTCTCATTTTAGAACTCCTAATAAACTGTTTACTAAAGTTTCTCAAATTATTACATCTTGTCGCATTGACAACAGATACATTACTCGTATTGGACTAGAAGGTTTTCTATAGACACCGAATCATTGTCTTAATTGTAGTCGGGCCCGAGGCTGGGCTAACTTTAGCCTAGCATTAGTCGTACTAGCTTAGCGTGCTTGCTGTTAGTCTAGCTTACTTAGAAGCCATCCGTTCTTTCAATTTACTTATTAACAATAGCGGTGAAAACAAAAAGTGAAAACCATGGCAGTTGTCAACGAAGGTGTTCTGAAGAAAATGCTAAAGGTACGTGTTGCATCACTTGCTGGTCAACAGAAACGTTAGCACGTTAGCAAATGTTACCGATACCAAACAGGACACTATCGTTGAGCATGTTCACATTTCCTGGTCATATGGAATAGGATCTGTATTGCTTAATAAACAGACGATTTACAGTACTTTAAATAATAATGTGGATTATTTGAGATTCCTCGTACATATTATTGTGTTGACCTAGATCCTACAGCCACCTAACGTTAGCTACACTCACGTATATGTTTAATACAAACGTTTCAATAAACAACCATTCCTATATTTCAGGATGATATTATGTGTCTCTTAAATTTCGCTTGTACAGCATTGATCCAATTTGCTAGGCATACTTGTTTATCAACTGTTGCCAGAGCAATACTTAAACCACTGTTATAAGGATTAGTATTAAGTATTTATAATGTGTCTATCATGTACAAATATTTAATGTCAGCCATCGTTGACAATTCTAAGTAACGTTTCAGGCTTGTTAATGTACATCATTAAAATTCAATTTACATATTAAATTAAGCATTGCGTGTAACTAACAATTGATGTGTTAGCTTTGAGGCTGCACATTTCCCTGGAATAATACAAATACATATGTATAATATGCCTTTAGCTTATGGTTTTTTCGAAAACAAATATCTAAACAACTCTGAGCTATTATGACCCCGTGGTCCAATGATAATCTCTGTAATAACAACTCAAGAAATAAACAGTTTCAGGTAGAGGGCCATAAAACTGTTATTTGTCATGAATCAAAATACCAAGATCTTGTCCATGGAAGAGCACACTGCATTATTATCCTAGAATTAGGATATCGAAACTTCATATGTTATGACTTTTCTGAGTTAATACACCAGTAGATATTACAGTGTATTTTCTGACTTTATTGGCTATCATTTTATATCAGATATCCTTATACTTTCTGAACACTCTGTTCTCTAATCTATTTTAGTTTTTTTACTCCTTATACTAAGCTCTAACAAAAGAAAAAATATTTTGGACACCAAAATAAATTACTACACACCACACAAAATTACTTTAGGATTAAAATACATAACTTATTAGTTGTGGCAACTACGTCTGAATGAGTTACCTACGTGTCAGCAATTCTGTCTAAAATGTAATGATGTATACTAACATACATTTCTTTTTCTCTTTCATTTTTTGTTGTTATTGTCCAGCAATACAAGTACAGGGACCTGACAGTTCGTGAGATAACCAATGTCATCAGCCAGTACAAGGACTTGAAGCCGTTGATGGACGCTTATGGTAAATCGAGTTATACAGGGCTCATGGTTTTGTGTGGTTATATATTGTATGCTCATATGATGGCAAATATATACATTGTTTTCGTTAATCGACATGTCATCTTCTTTTATTTAGTTTTTAATGATGGCTCCACACGAGACCTATTGAGCTTGACAGGAACTGTTCCAGTGACCTACAGAGGTAAGGAATGTTTACAGTGCTTTCTAAATACAAATGTAGTTCTTTATAAAAAACGTATTACACATTGTTTATTTGTGGCCGTAGATAGGTGTCAGTTCTGTTTAGTTTGTCTGATACCCTCACCTACTTTCTCTCTGGTGTGCTCACTCTAACTTGCTATTTATCTCGAACTTTAAAAAAACAAACTTTCATCAAGTAGCAGATGCTTCTGTGTGTCAGCTTACGAAAGCATCTGACTAGCATAACGTATACAATTTC